GAAGTAAAAAGCTATAAAATGTCAAGAACTAACTCAAAATAGTGGGTGAATAACATGAAAAATCATGTGAAAAAATGAACCGAACAGCATTCTTTTGGAGAGCTCGCATTTCTTCATTCATGGTATCTTTCCATTTTTAGTCTTCTAGTGCTTCAATCACACTATTGGGGACAACTATATCGGCCAACTACTTCACAAAGTGTACATGTGACTCTGATAATCTTCTTAGAGATATATAATTATTGATGGGGTATTTTCCTTTGACTTTAAGATCTGCTTCGTACTGGACTCGAGGTTTACCACGGTTCTTCCTTTCTGAAAGTTGGTATACATTGGTATCTATATCCTTTAAGCTTTCTGAAATCAAATCATCATGGTATATTTCATTAGTGTTATCAATTTCAGGGGGAAATGTTACCTAAATAACTTCCTCAGAAGGTGATTGGTATGGTACTAGAGCTTAAGGTTGGTCCAGAGCGGGCAAAATATCAGATAGCAGTTCAACTTCCTTATTCTGATTTTGGCAGCATGGAGTCGACCAGTCGTTTTCCACTGACAACCGGTCGTGTGGGAGAGGCGACTGGTCGCTTTGAGGCAGAGACGCCTCATGTGCATAGATAAAGGGAAGCGACTGGTCGCTTTGATGCTGAGTCTCTTTTGTTGTGAAAAAGTCCAGAAAATTCGGGGTGTTTAGCTCTAGATTCTCCTCATGTGTTTCTGAAAAATATATGTTGTGTTCCCGGAACATTACATCCATGAAGGTACAGACCTTATGACTTAGAGGGTGATAATATCGATAGCCTTTCTAATGAGGAGCATAACCAATAAAAACACACTTTTCTGCGTAGGGTTCCAATTTGTTGCATTGGTAATCATGTAAGTGTATGAATACAACACAGCCAAAAATCCGTGGTTCAAGGTTTGGGGTGGGAGGTATTTGGAAATGGTGGTGAAGTGTTTGAAGAAGAGTTTGGAAATTTAAGATACTTGAGTTAATCCTATTTATAAGGTAAGCTGCAGAGAGGACGGACTCACCTCAAAAAGATCGAGGCATGTTGGCACCAAATAAAGATGCACGGACTACTTTTAATAAATGTTGGTTCTTTCTCTCAGCCACCCTATTTTGTTGGGGAGTATATGGACACGAGCGTTGATGTATGCTGTCATGATCCTGTAAGAATTTTTTGAGATCATTATTAAGAAATTATCCACCATTGTCAGAACGAAGAACCTGAATTTGGGCATGAAACTGAGTCGCCACCATTAATTGTTGAAACATTAAACTAACTTTCCCTTTGATTTTGAGAAGGAAAACCTAAGTCATTCGAGTGCAGTCATCAATGAATTTGAGAGGTAATGAATTTGATTTAGGATTTGGGTTGAATTTGAAGGTATGATTTGAAAGCTTAGAGACAACCTATGATCGATTGTTCTGATACTATGGTAAATTTAGAGACAGGTCAGCGGTCTACTACTAACAACTTTGGTATTGTCCTCAACTTAACCACCAATAAAGCTCAGTAGGTTTTCTAATGAGGAGCATAACCAATAAAAACACACTTTTCTGCGTAGGGTTCCAATTTGTTGCATTGGTAATCATGTAAGTGTATGAATACAACACAGCCAAAAATCCGTGGTTCAAGGTTTGGGGTGGGAGGTATTTGGAAATGGTGGTGAAGTGTTTGAAGAAGAGTTTGGAAATTTAAGATACTTGAGGTAATCCTATTTATAAGGTAAGCTGCAGAGAGGACGGACTCACCTCAAAAAGATCGAGTCATGTTGGCACCAAATAAAGATGCACGGACGACTTTTAATAAATGTTGGTTCTTTCTCTCAGCCACCCTATTTTGTTGGGGAGTATATGGACACGAGCGTTGATGTATGCTGTCATGATCCTGTAAGAATTTTTTGAGATCATTATTAAGAAATTATCCACCATTGTCAAAACGAAGAACCTGAATTTGGGCATGAAACTGAGTCGCCACCATTAATTGTTGAAACATTAAACTAACTTTCCCTTTGATTTTGAGAAGGAAAACCTAAGTCATTCGAGTGCAGTCATCAATGAATTTGAGAGGTAATGAATTTGATTTAGGATTTGGGTTGAATTTGAAGGTATGATTTGAAAGCTTAGAGACAATCTATGATCGATTGTTCTGATACTATGGTAAATTTAGAGACAGGTCAGCAGTCTACTACTAACAACTTTGGTATTGTCCTCAACTTAACCACCAATAAAGCCCAGTAGGTGTGAGGTTTTATCACAAAAGGCCTCAGTGATATTAGCAGTAAAACCATTCATTATATCTTATATTTTATTTAGTCAAGTTTTCGATGTGGGACTTGTATTCTTCAACAAAACATACTAACATGTTGCTAAATAAAGTAATATGCTTTAGTTACCCTGTCAATTTGTAGAACAAATAATTGTATGTTATAGTCTTGGTTCAATACAAGATACATTCGTTTTCATTTGTGGAAACTTAAGTTGTTCAAGCACATGCGTTGATAATTATCAATCGTTATCATTAACGAAACTCTTGAAAACGGCATCTCTTTCTTTTAACTTCACTAAATTATACAATATATAGAAAATATAGAGACGTGAAGGAAACTCTTGTAAACAATTCTCTTTTATTTTTGTCACTGAACTGGACAACGTGTTGCTAACATTGTGTCCAGGTCAGTGAAGTTAGAATTCACAAAAAACAAACCTCTTTCCATTGAAATTGAAGTTGAAATTGAAGTTGTTGAAACCTATGGGCACGCAAAGTGTTGACTTAAGCAAAACCAAATGGGGGGTTTAGCCATTGGATATATAACCGAAGAGTCAAACATGCATGTGTGTAAAAGCATATGCTTAAAAATAAAAATAAAACTTAAAAGGCACGTAGAAAGTAAACCACTATATCCCTAAGCGAAAAAACAATCGTAAGACTTGTGATATGAGGTGACTTCATATATGAGATCCAACCACACATCTTTACACATATAGCAATTGACCCAGTCTTATTTCCATTTTACTATTATTATTTTAAATCTTTTTTTAAGGGCAACTGACTCAGTCTTATTACTATTATATTATTTAATTTCTTGATAAATTTCATTAACCACCCAGTTCTAAAGTCATGCGTGTTGCTCACTTTATCCTCAATTTTGTTCATTATCGATGAGGAAATTATATCTTCCCTTCTGGACAATCAATCAAAATCTACAACTTTGGTGCAGGGAATTTGGGCGCTTCTCTTAATTATTAGAATCTGAGGATGAAATTAATTGTACGAAAGTAACACTCACTCACTCACTCATCATAGTGATAGATCATGTCCAAATTTACACACAGTTTTTTTGTACGCAATTGAAAAAAAGACCACCAAAAAAAAAAAAACCCTAGGGCCATGTAGGGTAATGAAATTGCATGTGAAAATGACTCAATCAATTCAAACCCACAATTTTGTTGTATTTTATTTGACTATACTTTTTGCAAAGTCAAGCTAGCATTGGGAGACTAGGCTCTGCCGAAACATCGTGTAGCCAATGTTGTCGAAATCACATTTACAGATCTTCTTTCTGAAACCACACACCATCTATATGCTTGCTTAATAATCTTAGTAGGGAAGAAGACCTGTAACCAATTTTTTTTTTCTTTTTTTTTCTGATATGGCTTCTCTGGCCAGGCAGAAGCAGCCTCACTTTGTCTTAATCCCACTCCTGGCACAAGGCCACATGATCCCCATGGTAGACATGGCTAGGCTTATTGCAGAGCGTGGGGTGATGGTCAGCTTGGTCACTACCCCATACAATGCCTCAAGGTTTGAGGCAACAATTTCCAGAGCAATTAAATCTGGCCTTCAGATAGTTCTTGTGGAAATCCCATTTCCATGCCAGGAAGTGGGGCTTCCAATTCAGTGTGAGAATCTTGACATGTTGCCATCAAGAGACCTGCTCAGAAAATTCTATAAGGCTCTAAATCTGCTACAAGAACCACTCGAACGCTACCTTAATGAGCACAATCTGCCTCCGAGCTGCATAATATCGGACAAGGCAATATCATGGACAGCGAAAACAGCTCAGAAATTCAATATTCCAAGGATTGTTTTCCATGGGATGTGCTGCTTCTCACTGCTGAGCTCTCATAATGTCAAGTCCTCTGATGTTCTCCACTCTGTCACATCTGACTATGAACCTTTTGTAGTGCCAGGGTTGCCCCAGAGGATTGAGATCACGAAGGCCCAGCTGCCCGGATCATTTGTTACCCTACCCGATTTGGATGATTTTCGGGAGAAGATACAAGAGGCAGAATCAAAGTCTTATGGGGTTGTGGTGAATAGCTTTAATGAATTGGAACACGGGTGTGCTGAGGAGTTGGAGAAGGTGCTTGGTAAAAAGGTTTGGTGCATTGGGCCTGTTTCTTTGTGCAACAGAAACAATTTGGACAGGTTTTCGAGAGGCAACAAAGTTTCAATTGATGAGATGCAATGCTTGGAGTGGCTTCACGCTATGAAACCAAGGTCTGTCATTTATGCTTGTCTTGGAAGCCTTTGCAGACTAGTTCCATCACAATTGATAGAACTTGGGCTTGGTTTAGAGGCATCAGGGCAACCATTTATTTGGGTGATAAAAACAAGTGAGAAATATTCACAATTGGAGAAGTGGTTGGTGGAGGAAAGATTTGAGGAAAGGATCAAAGGGAGGGGTCTTTTGATCAAAGGTTGGGCTCCACAAATTCTTATTCTCTCAAATCCTGCAATTGCAGGGTTCTTAACTCACTGTGGTTGGAACTCAACAATAGAAGGGGCATGTTCTGGTGTGCCAATGATAACATGGCCTCTATTCGCAGAGCAGTTCTTCAACGAAAAGCTGATCGTAGAGGTGCTAAGGATCGGTGTTCGGGTAGGTGTAGAAGTCCCGGTTAGGTGGGGGGATGAAGAGAAAGTTGGAGCGTTGGTCAAGAAAGATGAAGTGAAGAAGGCAATAGAAGCACTGATGGATGAGGGTGAAGAAGGCGAAAGGCGAAGAAAGAGAGCAAGAGAAGTTGGAGAGAAGGGTAGAAGGGCAATGGAAGAAGGTGGGTCATCTCACTCAAACATGTCATCTTTAATTCAAGATGTTATGGAACAACCTAGTACTCAAGACAAATGTTAAAGCTTCAATCAATTCCAGCATTAATGACCTCTTAGGCCAAATGCATGGTATATGGCCGAAAAGTAAGGCAGAGGTTTCAAATCTTGGATTGTTGCAACTACAACCTGGATATAAGCAAGAGTTCAATCAATGTAACAGTTTAAATTGTAAATATTTTAATTTCCTCCAAAATGTTAGTTTACTACTCCATCGTAAATAACTAGTTATTTTCACTACTTCGTGGTATACATGTTATATGAGTTGCACATGTAATTTGGCAACAGCTTGGTTTCAATTCAAGTATGTTGTATTGTTATTTTTCTCCTCCTCTCCGCCCACCGTTGTCCCGATGAGGGGCGGAGCCACACTTTGGCCCGAAGTGGCGGTGGCACCCCCCAAACTTCAGCATTTCATTTAAAACATATATTAATATATTGAAAAATCTATATTATTGGCCCCCAAGTAATAAATTCGCCACTGATCTTGATCTTCATTTTAACATGTAGTTTATTTTCTATTTTCTATTTTCATATTCAACTAGTACTGAATATTGTTCACATAAATTTTTGGTAATACAGAAAGGATCTAGTACAAGAAAATCCCACTGTTTGAGTAATTAAAAATGCCATCCCACTTGATTATTTTAGTTAGACTTATTATCACAAAACATCCCTAAGGTTTACGAAACTATTAGATTGCATCCTTAATATTTTTTTGTGTCATTCGTGGTCCTCAAGATTAGTATGTGTGATTACAAATGGTCTCTGCCGTTAGGTTCCATCAAAAACTCCATTAGTTTGCTGACGTGGCATATATATATAATTCATAAGATTTTTTAAAAAAAAAATCAAAATGTTATGAATTTTAAATTTAAAAAATTAAAAAAAAATTGCAGAGACCATTTGTGATAGATGTGTGAACCTCAAGGATATTTTGTGATATATATATGTCACGTCAGCAAACTAACGGAGTTTTTGACGGAACCTAACAACATGGATTATTTGTAATCACACATACTAACCTTGAGGACCACGAATGACACAAAAAAAAATATTAATGATACAATCTGATAGTTTCGTAAACCTTAGGGACGTTTTGTGATATTAAGCCTTTTAGTTAAGTATAAAAAATAAAAATAAAAACCGTTTGTTTTCCGAGAGCTTGCTGTTCCTACTAGCGCAAGTAGTGGATCGTATTATGTTTTTATTTCTATATATATTTTAATTTGGTCAGCTTTTCAACAACAACAAAAAACTATTTATAAAAAGAATTTTACCAACTTCATTGTGTATTTTTACCCAAAAAATAATTGTGAATGCGTATGCTGATGTTGATGGGCTTGGTTCTTCATTGGAGTGGTTTGCCTACGCCCGATATAAACCGAAAGGTCCAAACCAACCGCATGCATATCCATGTTAAAGATTCTCAAATACCTAATTCATCTAGATTCAGTCAACAAAAAAGTCATATGCATTTTTAGAGCGTACGAGTTACAGTGAAGTCATAGAAATTCTTATTCATGATATTAGTTGGGAAATGTTGTGTTAGGAACAATCTAATTTGTTATATTACCGGATTATGGATTTCTTAATAAACAAACGTATATTTGGACATGATTCTACTTGATCAAGCGAGACGATAGATAGTATGATGTCAAAGAAAACGTTACTCAAATTAGAAAGTATGAGTCAACTGATCGTTGTGCTTATAGTGGTCATCATGAAGATTGAAGGGTGGAGGATGTAAAAGCCACTCATTTCCATCAACGTAGGAAATGTCCAAGAAGGGGGCAGCCTCAGATTCATTGAGTTGCCTTGCATACGAGGTCCTATGCGTATAATTTGCGCCCGATCCCATGCAATCGTACTCCCCAAACCACACTGTCCTGCATTCAAATAAACACCTTCATAATTAGAAAAAAGAAAAAGACAATAAAAAAGAGAGAAGAGAACAATAGAATTTTGGAGACACCAAAAAGAAAAAAAGCAATATGAGGAGCAAAGCAAGCAACCACAGACTGGTCTCTAGAGGGGTCTCTCCAGTCATTCCACCCATCTGAAGCCACAACATCAGACATGTATGTTTTAGAAAACACCACAGTTGCATAAGCTCCCCAAGCTCGACCAAGCCACACTTTCCCACTTCCTCCAATGCTGCAATTCACAAACGAAAATCCGCTTTGCTCCTGCGCCGACTGCCTTCCTTGTGCCGTGACGGCTCCACTTATCCCCCGTTTGACTGGATTTGCTATCGAATTAATGGTGCACCCCTATCAATGCTTTAAAATTAGTACCGGAGGAGTAATGCTAGAGACACCAAATCTCATTGTCGTGGTGTTTTATTTGTTCATATCTGTGCCTACCCTGAATCTCATTTATTTCCAACAATGCTGGCACGTCACATTAAATTATGACAAAGCCTGTTGTTTATGGATGGATGATTGTGTTATAACTTATACCTCATAGAGTGATTTAGCTTTGCCAAAAATGAAATCGATGGACCCTTGAATGAAACATTCACTAAAATAATGCCTCCCACGATCATCATTAAGCGTGTCTTGGGCACCATAGAAGCCACATCCATAAAATGCAGCTTGATCTCCTGTAATTCTTACTGCCACTGCCTGTGCTCCAATTCTTCCAGGACCTGGTGGCGGAGCTGTGTTCTTCTCCAAAAAAAAAACAGAAAATATTTACCAAATTATTGAAATCCCACATAGGAAACATATCAAACAGTTCCATTTTCTTTACCTGAAAGCTAATATTGTAGGCAGTGAAATAGGGAGCAAAGATGGCAACTGAAGAGCTATGAGCCGTCCCTCCAGTAGAATTGGCTGTGTCATTCCATGCTATGATGGTGTCAAGATAGCCCTGACCTTGAAATACCAAATTGGTCTTGTTAGCAGCCACCGTCACCTTTTCCCTGCCATCGTATATTTGATCATATGGTTAATAAGAATTAATTTGTAAACATATATCCATATTTTAACTTCATGTTCTTATAGGACAGTTTCATTTTTCTCCCTTGGAATATATAATACCTGTAAGTACCCGAATCGATTATGATGAGAGTTCTATAGTTGCTAAGCTCAGGAGCAGCATCTACTGCCCTTTGCACGCTACTAAAATTTGTCCAACCCTTTAAGCCTACTGTCAAAACAAGGGACACATTGTATTCAGATACGAGCCTAGATTTCCATTTTGTGTTGGCACATTTAGGCCTCCGCCGGCGGTGGTGGTGTCTGGACACAATGCTTCTCAAGGTAGACAATAAGGTCTCACCACTTTGCTTGAAAACCCCATCTAATATAGCAAGCTTGAAACTATTTTGAGCACTTTTGGCAATAGTAGAAGTTGAGGAGAGAGAGGAGGGGATGTGATGGAGAGAGATGATAGTGGAAACAAGTGCAATGACAAAGGCTGAGAACCAAAAGAAGAGGGTTGTTTTGGTTCTCATGGTTAAGGCTTTTGACGTATTTAGCTGAGGTTTGATGTTATTTTGAGTTAAGAAGTGGGTTGGGGCTTGTGGGGGGTTATAACTTAATTCATTATGTGTCTAAAAATTGGTCATGTAAAGGTGAGGGTGTGATGATTGGCGTGGGAGGTAAGAATTGTATGAAGGCATGGAGATTGGAAAATGCATACGCAAAGCCACAGAGGAGAGGAGCTGAGAGATTTTATTATGGTCAAGAATCAATGATGAAAGGAGGGAAAGTGGTAAAGGGGTGGGCATGTGTGTGTGTGTTTTGGTGGTGATGCAGTGAGACTTGAACTTTAATTTTAATTCTTTGAATATTGGAGGTGTTTCTTGACAACTTAGCACAAAGGGTACACCGTACACTACACTACTAAATTGGGCGGTGGGACTAGTAGCTTCATATAATCATGGAGGTTTCTGAAGAAAAAGTGACTTGAATTTTATGGAACCGCCCTTGCTATGTGGAACATTAGGTATAGCTGCAGCCTGCAATCATTCATGCTTGCATGGGTGACTTACAATCATTGATGCTTAGCTTATAATGCATCAACGGTTAGAAGTAACCCACGCAGGCATGGACAATCGTCCCAAGCACCCTCTTCAGTTGGGGGGGCGCATATGAATTAAGAAAATATGAGCCAATGAGGAGGATTTCATACATATCTGGTACAGAACGGGGATTTTAGAACATCGACAAGCAAGGCGTTAACGATGCTTATTGATACACACACATGGGAATCAGGTTTTTTTTTTATCATTTGATACAACACCTGCTGCCTAATAAGAAAATACCAAAGATGATTATTATCCTATTTTCTTTCCTCTTTTTTTTTTTTTGTTCTTGTGGGAAACGATAATTCAATTTTTAGTTTATTACATAAGAGAATACTCGAGTACAAGACCTACCACTTCCACCAATTTATCCCAAAATCTGACTGAAAAATAATCCGAGCAAGAAGAAAATTTGAGAAAATAAAAGCACAGAACTTATAAACTTTCATACATTGAACTCTTGTGCATGCAGAATATGTGCTCAATAAAGCCTTATAAAGAAAAAACTAACGGACAAATAGAGCTATTTAGCTGAAGTTCAAGAAAAATGTTGATATGAACAGCAGAGGCTTGACAATTCCAATTCATAAAATTTTACAAACATGAACTGGAAACTAAAAGCTTGCTAATAAGGATAAGGAAAAAGAAAAACGCTCTTCCATTTCCCCCCTGCTCTCATAGTGTATTTACAACCCGACACTCAGGAACCTTTTTATGTAGCATTGATGTTCCTTTGAAGGTCACCATTTGGTAGCAAGTCCTTCTGTAGTTGGTAAGCTGTGGCAGCAAAAGGACACAAACGTAAATTTCAGGGCAATAAAAAGGCGCAAAGAGAATGAGTGCGTTATTTAGACACAATTAAACATACCTGGTCCGGCATTATTTTTGTAAAACCAAATTTATCGGTCCATATGGATTCTGCTTCTTCAGCAGCTGGCAGCACAAGGCTCTTCACACTCAAGAAAGCTAGCAGCTTCTCAATGCAGGAAAACAACAACTGGAAGTAGCCCTGTGAATTTTGGGTAAAAAAAGTTGAATCGTATCAAACTAAACTTGGAGTCATAACTTTGTTCGCAAGAAACAGAATCATTAAAACTGAAAAATTGTATCACAAAAAGGCCAAGGACAAAAGAAAAGTAGGGGCATAAGTTCAGCATAATCAGCTCGAAATAATCTTAAATATATTTCTCTATTTCAGTCTCACCTTGCCGTGGTTACCATTACTTGTAGCAACCAAAGGAAGTTCAGCAACTTCATGACCAAAAACACGAATAATTCCAGCTGATACCACAGTTGAGCTGCAATAACAGATGAGTTTTATCAATTATATTACAAGGAACCAAGTCCACGACCAGAAATCAAACAACTTAC